CAAAGCAGCTTTTTGTAGCCGTCGTTGTTGTTGTTGTCAGATTCGCTCTTGATCGTGCTGCGTTAACTGCCTGTGGGGTAATGTAAGTGCTGGTCAAAAAGGGGTGGAGGAACTGGCCCCCTTGTGTAAGTGCGCCCTTAGAATTTACATGAAACTCACGAGCAATTTCTCACAAACTGTTATTTCCTAAATAACTACATTTAAAAAGCGGCGCAATAATATTACATACCAGCAACATTTTCACCGCAGGTGAAATTCCGCTGGAAAAATGGCTGTTGTTCATAGCTTCTTATGACTGATAGACATGCATGCGCATACACACACGCATTGTAATGCACTCTTCGTCATGACGCTGCAGCCTGTCTGTTTGTGTTTATAATTGCTTTTATCATCGGTAATCAGCGCACTCAACTCCACAGCGCCTCATTAAGCTGTTATTTTAAATTTGTCAGTATTTAAAAATCACCACGTTAAAGAAAGCTGCAGAGACCGTGTCGATCATTGCGCAAGTACTTTCAACAATGACAATATTATCAATTAAACTCTCTGTAGGAAAAGGTTGTGTAATTTGTGGAAATGTACATTATATTTGTAAAATCAAAGTTATTTTTTTTTACTGATCACTTCGATCATTACAGCATAGTTTTTTTTTAATTTAATTTTTAAATTTTTTAAATTTAATTGAATTTAAACCAATTGCATTGCTGTGTTAACTATGTTGCTGTCCGGTATTATCCGGATGTAATACGTTGATAAAACTGAAAAACAATGGTGCCTCAGTTATATTGACTGTATCAGATCTGGAGGAAGAGCATGAAGTCTACGTATGTTGCTGTGATTAGCAGCAGCCTCGGCGTCTGCAGCTACCACACGTTCATGTTACGGCTCAGGTCAGACAATCAGGTTAATCAGCCTTTTCCGTCTTCTGTCACACCGTAGCGTGACTCACACACTGACTTCAGAATATTTCTTCGCCTATTATAATTGCTTACGGTTTAAAATCAAACCTTTTTTTCTGGGAACCCATATTTTAAAAATCACAAACCTTCGCAAACCCCAAGTCAATAGACGTTATTCGTAAACTCCTGGGGAACATGATGCGAGATGACCCCAAAACAAAAAGGTCACGACCCAGTCTTTGGGAAACAATGGTTTAAATCAATGTGTCTTAATTAACAAAACTAAAAAAAAAAAAAATAGAATAAGAAAAGCGGTACGGAATGGAAAATATTATTTTTCTGTTAACACGACACATTGAAAAGAAAACTCTGGAATATGTTGACAGTTCAACAGTGTGACAATCTACTAAATGTTTTGCTGTAAATCTTCCTGTTGGTTTGCAATTTACAACAATTTTCTCAAATTTTCAAACTGCACCTTCAGTCCTTCACTCCATCAGTTTCACATCGGTTTTAGTTTGAGACTTCACAACGTCAGAAACCCTTTCTTCAGACACGAGATCTCCAAATTTTCAAACTGCACCTTCAGTCACAACAAAGCGCACTTAAAACACAGCCTCCTGTTTTATTTTGAGACTTCAACGTCAGAAACCCTTTCTTCAGACACACCTCAGTGGCTCCAGCCAGAAGAGACAGCCGGAAAGTTAACAGTTCCTATATTAAGTCAAAGTGCCCAGGAGAAAGGGATGTCACGATTATGGATCGGTACCATTATCTTGCCCAACGTTTATTAACTGATGGGGAAAAGCTAAGGGAGCTAATGCTAAAATGTTCACTGACAACATGGCGTTTTGTCTAACAGGTCACTGTCACACAGGAACATGTGTCATACAGGTAAACGATTAATTGCAAATGAATTGACGCACTAACATTTAATGTCCTACCAATTCAGTGTCACATGAAGAAACACTGACGTGATTTAGTTTAAGTTACTGAGTATTTACCTTACTTTGGGGGACAATGTCGGTTCTCCCGCAGTTGACTACTATAGTCTCGGCATTAATTTCTGACGGTATTAACGAAACGATATGATAAATTAATTTTGACGGTGTCTCGATCCTGATACCAGTTTTTATGGCATAAAGCAAGGCTTCCCAATAAGGGTTAGGATTAGGGTTAGTTCGATCGGGATCTACCAGTAGATCGCAAAGGGAGTGCTAGCGCTATCATGGGCAATTAAGATAAAAATAAAATATAAAAAAATTGAAATAATAATGTAATTCTAAAGTGCGTAACAGTGACCATATAGCGTAAGAATTGAATCATATTGTGCCATACGGTTACATGAATGAATCATCAGCATATAAGGAATATATAAAGTATGTTTGTATCACAATGACAAATTATTTACTTTCACTTTCAGTTCATATAAGTAAATATGTGTTTAATGTTTTCAGTGTAGGTATAACACTATAACCTGGCCATTTGAATAGTAGAACAAACCCCCCCAAAAAAAAGGGTATAAAGTACGCACATATTTGCAGTCACTGCCGCTCATTACTAGAACATATACCTGCAGTGCATAAGCAAATTATTCCAGGTTATTTTCTGGTTGCATAATATAAGCCTACAATATTTTCCAACCACTGGAATTGCCCCTTGGTGGTACACTGCTGTTCTTGGATTCCTTACTTTTAGAACAACGACAGTTTCAAATTTTAACATACAGTCTTTGGTGGAAATAGCTCTCAAAAAGTGGGACGCTGCCAATCAGTTATTTCGGAACTGATCATGACTTAGGACAATTAAAAGCATTAATGAATGCATGTGCGCTACTGGGATATACACACACACACAGAGTCATGCCAACCTCTGCCCCCACAGCTTCTCTTTAGGCCCCGCCCCATCGCAGACAGGCAGAAAGGCTACATTGAATTCTTGACAGAAGCAGGCGAGTTAATTACAATGAGTGCACATGTTCTACGGGAGACATGTAATTATCAACCGCTCTCAGCAGAACCAGGCCTGTGTTTTAGACACTGACTGCAAAATAGTCCATAGCTCTTTATATGACCGCGGCTGAGCTGCAGAGCAAGCCCAGAGATGTTACATCGTACTGCCCTCAACAGCCTGTGGTAAATGTACATTTACGCAACAGAACCAAAAGGAGGGTAGCAGGTATGTTATTATTGAATTGTTTTGTTTATTTTTTTTAAATTATTTTATAGGTAAAAAAAGAGAGAGACCGAAACAGGTTTTGAATAAAAATATGTTTCGAGATAATTCTTCAATTTGACAAAAGTAAGGTTTTACAATCAACTTTGAAAATTCTATATCACGACACACAGATCCATCCAATTCAGCCTGCTTTGACTTGGGCCTCTAAAATATCCATTACTCATTTAGTTTTGTATGAGATTCAAAATTAGCCTGAAAGGCAGCTTCTGTACAACAGTCAAAAAAAAAAAAAGAAAAAAAAAGAAGCTCATTCTCTCTAGTGTCTTTGATACAACAAGGATGCCATCAAGAAGCCAGCGCGACCCACGCATTCTCAAGATATCGTTGACCTCCTGAGAATTCCGTCGGCGTCGCCCGAAGAATCATTCAAACCCCGAATCGTCTTTTCGGCCACGCTGTCAGACTTTACATTACATCTCCACAAAGTCCACTGAATGATCAACACGCACGAAGAGACAAGTGTGATATTAAGCCTTTCTCACCCGCCCACTGCCTGCCCAGCAGGGGGCCCTAGCACACTCACGCAAGCTGCTCATCTCATCTGTTACCACTACTCTGTCACCGGAATAAAAAAAATGCAAACCGTCTAAACAGTCTTTAGTCTGTACGACTCTGCCTCCATCTCTTCGTCCTGACGTCACACTGAAGCTAAGGAGACTCTCAAGAGGTTTCTGGAGGGTTTTCGTGGAGATGTTCTTATGTCTGGCGCACCCTGACTGATTAAAAAAAAAAGACCAGAAATAGAATAAATGTTGTGCTGAACGTTTCTAAAATTAGAAACAATTGCCACTATTGAGGGTAAACAACACCTGGTGCATTTGCAAAAGCCGTACCAATCAGAACATGGAAGCCCAGAAACAAGACATGAAGTGTAATCACCTTCCTGTGTCACTGGTTGCAGGTCTTTTCAATAGAAAGTGCTGTCCATTTTGTCAACACTGATCCAATTAATGGTACAATAGGGGAAGCTAATGAGTGTACAGCCAATGTAGGACAGTCCAACAGGAGCCCGGTGTCGGGTGACATCTTACGACTTCAAAACGCCGAAACAACACTTGAGCTGCGGTCTGATTGTAATCTTGTGGTTTCAAAATGGGAGCTTGTTATGTAAGGTCCTTTTTTTTTAAACATGCAGACTGTGGAGAGTGCTGTGTCTTTACATTTTCAGTGAAATAAAAGACTTCTTCTCTCTTCGCAAAACTTGACCGTCTCTATCTTTCTTCGAGATCTAAGAATGCATCAGTCAAACCGGGCTGCTGTTGGTTTACGTCCTTATCAGTGCTACCTGTCATAAGTCGTTCAGTAAAAACCAATCCTAGCGCAGCAGTGTTACTTCGGCGAGATTAAACAAGTGAACCAAGACTTTTACGTTAGACCCCAGTCTACGTCCAAACCAAACCTACGTACGATGAGGCTCAGGGCAAATGTTGATTAGATGTCATGATTGACCAATGATGTCACATATGTGACCAATCAGATGGTGATCTCATACATATGACCTAAATGTGCCATTGCAGTTATAGGTGTTCAGTTAAAAGTACACTGGAAGTAAAAAAAAAACAAAACACACACACACAGATTGAACTTATAAAATGCAGTACTCATACTAACATGAAAACCTTCACTGGGAAGATTCCACAGATGTTTACTTCTTAATGGTCAAGAAAACCTAATGGAAAACTAACCAATAGAGTTGATTAATATGGGAAGGTGTGCTCTCTCTCTCTCTCTAAGTGCCTTCCCTATCTGTAAAATCGATCGGTGGTTGCGCGCGTGATATAATAAACATGTGACATAATATTGATCAAAACTGAGACGAAAAAAATCAAGAAACAAAAACAAGTCCACAGGTCTGGTACTCACGGGTTCCATCGAAACGCGTGGCGATGGTGTCCAGGAAGGTGTTCTGCGGGGCGAGAAGCCCCCGCATCACCGGCATCCTACCGCGGGTGGACTGCGTCCTCCTGGGGCGGCTGCCGGACTCCTGCTCCTCACCCCCGAAACTCGGCAGGAAGCGAGAGGTTCCCGGTGCGCATCCCAGCCCCTGCAGGAGCGCACCGATCCGAGAGACGCGCGGCGGCTCCACCTTGGCACCGCGGGGGTTGTGACCATAATCCAGTCAACAGCAGCCGCAGCAAAAGAGCAGGGGCAGCAGGGGAGCAGAGAGTGTGATGATGCTGCTGCTGCTGCTGCTTCAGCGTGGCATCATGCACATGTTGTGTGCACCTGTCACCATGGGGAGGGAAAGGAGGTGAAGCTGGAGGAGGTGGAGCAGAAGGAAGTGAAGGAAAAAGAAGAGGCGAGTGCGCACCGATCTGGAAGAAACCAGGACTGAAGGATGGGTGATAGATGGGAGGCTGCAAGTTTTGGTGCTGATGGCGCGTGGAGGCAATCTTAAAGCACAGGCTCCTCCTTTTACCTCCTCCCCTTTCTCTCTCTCTCTCTCTCTCGCCGTCTTTGTCTCTCACAACACATCACATCACATGACGACTCCAGGTCTCAGGTCGCTCTACAAAACACGAAGCAGTACCACCAGAATGCGGTTTATAGAAAACACGTTAAAAATACAACTCAAACTAAAGCATAGTTTGCTCATGTAAGTGAAGCTGTTTTTAAGAAAGAAAGAAAGAAAAAAAATTGATGCCTGCAACACAATCCGCAGGTCAATTACCTTTCCTTTTAATTAGACTTAATTAAACAAGTCAACTTTAATTGGTTTGTGAGCAGGTAAAACATATAGTTTAACTAGTAAAAATGTAAAAAAAAAAAGGAAAAAAAGCCTGATATTCATTAAAAACAAACTTTGTCCGATTGCCCTTATTTGTGATGCTCCAGATATTTATTCATTAAACAAAAACTTTGTCTGATTGGCCTTATTTGTGATGCTCCAGATATTTATAGTGAGATGTACAGGTATACTTTATGCCAATATCCGATATTCCGATGTTGACCACTTAATTTTCGATTCTGATACCGATAGCAACATATGTACATATATATATATTTTTAGGTCATGTCAGAAATAACACTAAAGGCTTCCACAAATTAACATTGTCATTTTGAAAGTGATTACAGCATATTTAGCAAAACTCAGGTTTTGCGTTACTGGCTTTTCATTATCGGAGGAAAAACCTACAGGTTTTGCGTTACCGGCTTTTCATTATCGGAGGCAAAACCTAAAATGATTTTTCACTATATTATATTATTATGATAAAATCGGATGTCCGATATTATCGGACATCCCTAATCTTTACTAAACTGTGACACAGACGGTGGTGTTTCCAGACACCCCGGGGTCCCAGGCAAGAGAAACCATTGCAGTGTCTAAAGCAGTTCAATCAAATTGTCATTAATATATGGACCAATGTCAGCCTGCAGTCCAGATCTGTGTCCCGTTGAAATATCTGAACATCTTGAAGAGGAGAATCACACAACACTGAAAAAAATAATTAACCAAAAAACAACAACCAAACATTTCCATTAAAGGTCTTGAAACCATAAATAAAGAACATTATGATACAGCGTAAAGCTATTTAAGTATTATTTCAAATTTGTTTTTTATTTATTCATTACATTTCACATAGCCAAAATGTTCCAGAAATGGCAGTTTCTACCACTGCTGCTCAAACCTGTCAACAAGGACCTTTACTGTATCAGATAAAGCTGTAAATTGGTTTGTTTAAAAGCCTACAAAGTGTTATTTTTAAACCTCCCTTTCTTCTACTTTTACTACTAATACTTTTAACTGTCTATTCACCTATATACAATAGATAAATAGCATCCATCCGTCGGAAAACGCTAACGTTGATAATTGAACAGTCAACTTCTGCCATCTCTTGGTCACAGAGTGTAATTACTTTGATATTGACAACGAGGGCTTTGATTCTGGGAAACACTATGTCGTTGCTAATACCGCGGTCAGTGTTTTAGTTTTTGCAGGTATTTCTGAATCTTTTTCTGACGCAGTTACGTGCGGTAAGGTTCGTGGCCGGTGAGGCAATTGTAAGAACCGGTTTTTTCTGACGGTAAGGTTCATGGCCGGTGAGGCAATTGTAAGAACCGGAAAGAGCATCCCATTTCACTATTCATTCAACAGCATGCAACTGGTACTGCGTCATATCCCACACTTACACCAACACAAACATATACACAGGAACATATTTATCCGTTTCTTTATACAAATGGACAGGGCACTCGTCTTGTGTCTAAGTAATTCATATTTACTGTTAGCCTTACCTTTACTTATAGATGAAGTCCATGGTTGTATCTCTCGGTTTTCCCCTCACTTTAGCATTGTGGACGCTAATGTTTAGTCTCCGTTGCTCATCCAACGCCAACTCGATCCTTGAATTTCCAAAAGTTTTTAAAGAAGTCTGTCTTTGAATGTGCGTGGCTGGTGTTTCATGTCTGCTGAGGCTTCTTTGCAACATTTTCAGCTCGCAGTAGCCAGAGTTAGCCCAGACGTTATCACACGATAAGAATAAAAGACCACGAAAGAAGTAAAGACGGTTTCTTACAGGACAGCCACAGAGCTAGTCTTTAGTATCACTCCATTTGAAAAGAACGACTCTTCTGTACCGTAGTTTGATGCTAACCTGTTAGCTCCGGCGTTAGCCTTCCATCACTTATCGTCTTCTTTTGAACCGGAAGTGCAGTTTTGACAAACGTTTCCGTCTTGAAATATATATACCTGACGTTCAAGTACGACCCCCTTGAGGTGAAGCAGAGTACTGTTTGCCTCCCCTGCTGACTTTTCTCTGCACTTTATTGGCTGAGGAACAGAAACTAGCAAGCGCTGCCTCGCCATTTCTCCTCTGTATTTGATTGCAGAATACTCAAATTCGACGATTTCTACTTAATAAAATATCAAAAATGTTTTGAGTCATACTGAAAATGCATATTTAACACAGGTCAGTGGAAAATATTAATATTTATTTTATGTAGCTAGCTTTTTTTTTCTTTTTTATTACACCGCACGTACCTGTTCTGATAACCCCCTTTATCGCCACAGTCCTACTCCCGTGTTTCACTGTACTGACTGTTTTTGTATTGTTGCATAAACTCTAACCTTTACATTTTTGTTAAAAGTTTTCTTAAAAACTATGAATATTCGCTCTAAAGGTGCGTATGTCAAATGTTTATATCGTATATATACCTTTCTTTCTGTCTTTTAAACTTTTGTAGACCCCGCCCTCTCCATTACCGTGGTCTTTATTGGTTGGTTACGAGGTTTTCGCCTTCTTCTCTCAGATTGGCTGAAGCTGTAGTGAGCAGAGCTCTTGGGCGGAAGTGTCTCACTCTGTGCTCCATAGTTTACCGGTCGACTCGGCTCCGCTTGGTTTGGTCCAGCTCTGCTCCTTGGCTTCACGTCGTCTCTGTTATTTTGCAGACCTGAGTTTTTTTTCCCCAACCGAGCAAGGTAAGAATGAAAAACACGCAATGAAACATTTTTTTTTTGCATGACGAGCCAGGGCTTATCCAGACGCATCTCTTATTAGCACAGTTAGCTCAGAAAGAGACAAATACACTGTCCTGAATTAAAATAAATTCAAATTCTCCTTAATGTCCTCTTGAACGGGTAAGGTTAGGACATTAAGGAGTGATACATGCAAATGAAGAAAACGTGTCAAGATTATGTACTTTCACAGAATCGGCAGTTTAAGGAAACCTCGCTATTTATTTATTTATCATATATCCCCGTCAAATATTGATACAGTGTGTTCATTAAACACTAATCAAAAACAGAATGTTTCATTTTCATTTTTACCCTGTGCAGGGTTTTTTTCCCACGCTAACAATAAGACTGTCAGTACGCAGAATTACTATGGATGTGTTCTCTCCCAGTGTACGTGCAACCTTAGGCTGTTTCACAGTCTCCTCCCCATCGCACCACCATCGCCCGGTCTATCTACTTATGTAAGAGTTGTGAAACTCTGAACACAGCTGAATTCTTCCAGCTGAATCACGGGTTACCAATCAATTAATGAAAATGAAAAGTAAAGCCAGACAGTCAAACTAATGAACAGGGAGACTTGTGACTCAGCCTCAGGGTTTTTTCATGTTTGTTAAAAGGATCAGGATGAAGAGAAAGAAAAAATCTGCTGAGTCACTGTACGGTTTACTTGGAGTGGATTCATTCATTCATCCAGTGAACGAACTAACTGTAGTTCTTCACTTATGCTCCATTAGTGTCAGTGCTTTTTCCTTCACTTTTAATGTATCTTTTTTTTTTTTTCTGCTCCATCAGTGTCAGTGCTTTTTGAAATGAATGAAAGAATGAATAGTGACACTATTCGGCCCAGAGCTGCAGAAATGTATTTGATCTGACCTGTGAGATAACAGACCGATAACAGCTGCTAGAGTTTTTGTCTTGTCGAGTTATTTTAAGATTTTCATCTGCAGAATGAATAGTGACACTATTCGGCCCACGAACTGTCCAGTTTCAGTACAGTTTCTGTCTCATTTTATTTTAGTGTCCGACCCCCAAGGCGTGAGTAAGAAAATTCTGGCCCTCTGACATATATAGTTGGTGACCACTAGCGTAAAATGTAGTATATATTTTGAACAAGCAATTTGAATACATCAAGGGGAAAAAAAAACAAGGACTTGGGTTAAACCAGTACTTCTCAAATAGTGGGGCGGGACCCCCTGGGCGGGCGCGGTGAGTTACCATAGGGGTCTGGGGGGCATAAGTGTACCACTACTGTAATGCTTGAATGATAACAAGCCTCCAGTCACTAGGTGGCAGCAACTCATGTAATCAGGTTCTCAATAGTGTTTTAATTTGCGGGGAATAAATGTCAATAATAACCACTAATCAGAATACAGTCTTAACATCCAGATAGCTTTTACCCTGACTGTGTGATTGCGTCTGTTTGTGTGAATTCAGATGTGTAAGAAGATCAAGGCAGGAGCAGTGGTGGAGATGAAGGGAGATGAAATGACTCGCATCATCTGGGAACTCATCAAGGAGAAACTCATCTTCCCTTACGTGGACATGGAACTGCACAGGTAAAAACACAACTCAGTGTCATCTTTTCAGTCAGTCATGGTTTGGGTCCACTGTCACCAAGAATGCTCAAAAGTCTTCACAAAACTTTGAAGAAAAGAAAATGAGATTTTTAAAGAGATTGCCATGCGAAGGTTTTACATTTAGCTTTTCAAAATGACTTTTTGTCAGCAGAATAGAATCTGAATCGGCTCAAATAATCAAAACCGACAAGTCACGTAAGAGGAAAAAAAATCATAATCGAAAGTGGCCAAAAGCCTTTTTTTTTTACTTTTCACTTTTTCCTCTGGATACGCAGGGGAACGGTGCAGTGTCATAACCTGTTCTCCCAGGTGGAGGTGGAGTACAACAAATATTCAGCAAGTTGTTCTGCAGTGCTGGGATTTCGAGTTGGACTTGTTTGTACTTGATTCTCCCTACGGAGAACAAAACAAAGATGCTAATGAGAGAGAGTTTGCAGCCAAGGCATACATGAATGTATGTGTCTGGCACAACAGTGTGTTGTTGCCTTACTGTGAACTGCTGTGGAGAGTGTGGTCTCCTTTTCTTATCTCTGGTTGGAACTTTGTTCAGGGTTACTTCCTGTTAGCAATCACTAAATCTTCTGACTCTGGTTACAAGTCAAGTTTAACTGAAAAGTAAAAAATAATATACAAGGACCAAAGTTTACCCATCGTGTTGGCCCATTAACCATTCAACAGCTATAGCCTCAAAGGTCAGCAGGTTGAATCTCAAACGTGGCCTTGGATGTTTATAAAGGTAATCTTCCCTGGTGTCATTTTACCTACTTCCTTATACTGATTAATTATCTCTGAAGGGTAAAAAGCCGAGAAAATCAATTCTTTTTTTTTCTTTTTTTTTGCACCTGGAAGATGTGTCCTGGGTGGAATTTTGTACCTATTCCTACTTTTCTTCCCCTAGGTTTTAGGGTTGGATGTTGATTTCCAAGGCATTTAATAATTACATATTATAAATATATGTATATATTTTTTAAATAGTTCAATTATTTTCTCAACCCATTCATTAATATTATACTGGGTTTCTTTGTTAATGTATTTTCCTTACATAAATTCTGTAGCTGTTCTTAAAAAAAAAAATTTGAAAAATAAGTGCGAAAGATATTGTGGTCTCAATTAAGGACGTGAATTTTGATTTTCAATATTAACTCCAAACAGTCACAGAAACTATGTAATAGAAGGAAAAAAAAGATTATTGATTACAAAAAAAAAACTACATGTTGCCCCATTGCACTCTGGTATATTGGGGTACTAGACTTTCGAGTTCACTTCCTACGTTGCAACATACCTAGCCTTTCCTGTTACGTTGAAACTTGTCGACTTGACGCTTTGTCTACCACTTTCTGAATAAACTTAAGGCAGACGGTGACCTGAACAAGAACCGCTGTAGGTCGAGGACGTCGCAAACCGAGGGCGGCCTGTCCTTGTGTCTTGAATGATTCCCGCCACACTGACGTGATTTTGGTGGTTGTGTACTTGAGTACGGCCGCACCATGAAGCAACACAAGGAATCTCTTTAACCTCCTAAAATAAAAAAAAACAAACACAAAGTGACTTATGGGTACAGAAAAAGAAAAGTCAAACAGGCAAAACCACATCGACGTCCTCCACATCACAACCATCTATCAAAGATGTTCGAATTCGACAGATGTCCTACCACCATTAGTGAACCAGACTTCCTGTTCATGGATTGAGTTACTGACGGGCTTTCTTTTTTTTTTTCTTCCACTCCTGGTTTCTGTGTCAGACTTGTGTTCCCATTACTTGTTGATTGTCCTATTGTTCAGTGTCTGTGTTGTGGTGCTGGCTTACATCGGAGGAGGGGGGATGGAAGGGAATTGGGTAAAAGGTCACCGCTGCTCTGGAGCAAGGCTGGTGCATGACCTAGTTGTGTTAAGGCAAAGGCTCGGAGGTTTGTCAGGGGAAATGTTTCTAGTCTCCCTTTCTGCTGCTTTTGAGTTGCAACATGTTTGAGTCATGTCTGAAGTGTGTGTTCCCTTTTTTTCTCTCTCTCTGTGTTCGGGGCTGCTTTTGCAGATCAGCTCAGACTGAGCAGAGTTGGTCAGAGGGTTAATGAATGATCTGGTTTTATGCCTATCAATAAAGAGTGATTTGATCCCTCCGTAAATTTGATCATCTGGAACTAAACATACAGAACCACTGTTAGTTTTACAGCTGACTTCTATATTTACTTGTCATTAGAACCTAACGTCTGTAGCAGAAAAGTCGCTTTCTCACCACCCGAATTAAAAAAATGAACAGGTTCAGCACATCGCAAGTAAAAAAACAAAAAAACAAAAAACTGTAATGATAACAATAGTTAAGGTCACAGTCATGTCAATAAAATATATTTACAAAACTGTACAACGTGAAGAGTAAAATGAGAGAGGGTGGTTTCATGATCATTTTAAGTGATTTTTTTTTTTTTAAAGTAATTGTATTCATGTAATAATAAAAATGTCCCAT